CACACACACACACACAGTCAGTCTCAATTTTGCATGTCAGTAGACCTGTGTGTGTATACTTTGTGTTCAACAGTTTCTCTTTCTTTCTTTTCATGAGATTTTTGTATTTTTAAATTTTTAATTGTTTTCTTTTCTATTCTTCACAGAGCTTTCACTATGAATGTACATAATGTATGTTACATAACAGAAAGACAGACGTATAATTCCAAAAGGAACAATAACCACAGCACTTTAAACGTTCTGTTTCCTAAAAAGCATCTGACAAACATTCTTCTGACTATCCTGATGATTCAAGTTTGAAAAAATCAAGTATCTGTGTGCATCAGTGTCTGAGGACAGACTGTGCAGACTGCAATGAAAAGGATATGGCATGAATCACACAGATCTGATTGCGGAGTTGACAAGAAAGAGAACAAGAAAAGTGACTTTCACCTAATTCTGTATCTGATTATCTGAGAGAGAGATACTAATGGACTAACCTCATACTGGTCACCAGCACACAACCTGGCAAATCCAGCCAGACCTGAAAGACAAACAGAAACAGATGTAGCCTTTCAGCTTCTCATAAGGACTGGATTTATTTCTCTAGGGGAGGTGGGGTAATGTTACCTGCCTTGGTCTGTGATTTTTATCTGTCTGAACTGTTTGTGGGTAGTACGGCAGTAATGATTACAGCTACTGTACTGTTTTTAAAGAGAGAAGAAGCTGCTCCTCCTTCTTTTTTTAAAAATCAGATAATTTTGACTTTTGTGTGAAAATGGAGTCAGAAATCTTTTTGCTAATCTGATAGATGGAAACATACGAACACCAACCCAATTTCTTAGGCAATATTTGTTTACATTTTAAAAATGTTACATTAAATGACATTAAATGTTTGCTGAATTAGCTATCAGCAGCTCTTGTTTGCAATGCACCCATGGGTGTACAGACCTTTATCATTGGATTACTTCGATATTAAAGAGAACTTAAAAACATGAGGATTCTCTAGTTCCAAAGTGACTTTTACATTTTTTTCCTATGATTTCTAAGGAGATTTATTTACGATTATTTATTAAAGACATTGTAGATAATGATTAGTGCTGGACTAGAAACATCTGCAGAGTCTGACGGCTGTTGTTTGCTCAGTGGCGGCTGTGGCTCAGTGGCAGAGCAGGTCGTCCACTAATGTTTTCTCCCGTCACATGTTGAAGTATCCTATATCCTCCCGATGCTGTGCATTAGTGTGAATGTGTATGAGAGTTAGTTTCTGTTCAATAGCCATCACTGAGTGAATGTGTGTNNAGCAAGAACCCCAAATTGCTCCCGTATGTGTATGTGTATGAATGTGTTAGTTTCTGTTCGATGGACTTTGCCATCACTGAGTGAATGTGTGTGAAAGGGTGAATGTAGTAGAGTAAAAGCGCTTTGAGTGGTCGGAAGACGAGAAAGGCGCTATACCAGTACAGTACCATTTACCAGTGATCATAGAATAACTGTTCAAGACTGCATCTAATTAAAATGTATCAAGCCTCTACTTTTTTTCTCCTCCAGAGCAGACCAAATAACCTGTTGAATTTTGGAAGGAAATTCGTGTTTTTTTACATTTACCCAGTAGCTGCAATCCAAATGTTAGCATCTTTGAATACATGGAAAGAATTCATAAAAAATATGTTTTATTCAAAAAATCTTTTAATTATGCATGTCTCCTGGTCACAATGTTTTGTTCATGTTCAGTATGTGATTTTTAATAAAAGGCAAAAAATAAAGTCAAGAGAATGCAAAAAGGAGAGAAGAAAAAATGGAGGCTGAGAGAAAGGAGGAAAGAGTGAAGACAGAGGGGTGACCTCGCCATCAGTGTTTGGTTCTTACCTTTCATCTTGATGTGGAACTCACCCAGCTGGTTCTCCAACTCACTCTCCAACACACACATGTTCTACAGAGAGCAGTAAGGAAGGAAGTTTATTTATAAAGCACCTTCACAATAAAAGACAAAAAGATCAACTAACAGAGCAACAAACATGAAATGTTCAACAGAAAGAACAGTGAAATTATGTTGGAAGAGCAATTAGAGACGCACTGTGACAGTGCTAAACCTCTTACATAAAAGCTAAATGAGAGCCAAAGCATATGACAGGTTGCACTGCATGTATGGACTCTCTGAACACTGAATGGACACTAATCAGCAAACACACTAAATACTGAATGAGTTGAAGAAAAAATACAAATTGTATTATTTATTTATTTGTTTTTCAGTTGAATTACAATTACTCTTTAATGTAATCCTATTTAATGTAGTCCTATTATTCAGCAACATTCACTAGACATCTAGACATTTACCATTTTCTCTCATTCTATCTTCATCTCACCTCTGTGTACTCTTTGTATCCTTTATTGGCTTCTGCTAAACTCTCCCTGGCCTCCTTGCTGCCTGGAGAGGCAGTGTAAGCCTTCACCATCTTGTTGGCCCCGTCCCTGAGTCTTCTCTGTAGGCAGTAGGCTTCATATAGCTCCTCAATCTGGAAAAAGAGGTAAAAGTTACCCAGTGGCTCGACATCAAACCTTTTAAGTAGATGGTTTGTTTCCATATCGGGTCTGCTCCGTGTGCAGCTGAGTAGAGCGACTGAAACTGCTGTTTTTATCATCTACGTCAGTGAATTAAGGATTTATTTCAAC